CGAGGCGCTGGCCCCGAGGCGGGGGAGCCATGGGGCAGGCACCGGGCGGGCTTAGGCGGGGAGCGGCGCAGGCCTGCGGGCAGCTGAAACTGGGCCGGTAAAGGGGGGCCGGTGCCGTTCATCCAGACTGGCCAGGTTTGGGATGTCATACCAGTTTGCAAGTCCATAGTGACTCCCATGTAATTCAAATTCTGTTGGAACAATCTGTACAGCTACAAACATTGGTACGCAGCTTGAGAATTACAGTGTCAACTCCAGTTCTGAAACGTTCTTATTTTTGAGTGCTCCACAACAACCTTCCCGTAACATAAATACGTTTCAGTACTTATACAGAAAATGTTTTTCCATGTAGGTGAAGGTGGTATTTCAAAACAACTATTAAAGCGCATCATGCTAAAATGGAGGGTTTCAAACTCTTCATTAGGCCATGTTTTCTTTTAAAATTCTCATCAGATTTGTAGCCGTTTGCCCTCTCTGCTGCAGCCTGTTACAGGGAAAAGGAGGAGGGGGAAATGTTACATGGAACTTTTCCAATGCCTTTCACTTCCCAGTGCCCAGAGCTCATTTGGTCTGCAACTCCCCCCTGAGGTGTGGAGTTTAATGTCTGACAGATGTTTTGACTTTTACTGAGCAGTTAAGAGACAAGGAAGGTGGCCAGCACCATAAAATGTTTTAATTCACCCCTGAGTTGTGAGGTCCTGTGGAGGGCTGTGGCCAGTGTCCAGGCCGATGGGAAAGTGTCTCCTGTGCTGGGAAGTGGGTTGTATCATGAGGGCTTCAGAAAGCCTGAACCAACTGGTAACCCTGGTACCAGTGACAATGCACCTATGACTTCTGTGCAAGCAGCTGATGAGACAGTAACACGGTAAGCTTGGAAAAGTGGGTCTGGAGGCAGCATCCAGGGCTCACCTCACTTCTTAGGAGAGCAAAAGCATTTGTCATGTCCACTTGCTAGTGTCAATTCCATGTCCCTGTATGGATGTTCAAAAGGTTAAACAAAGAAATACAGCTGGAAAAAAGGACTGCGTATACAAGATACAGTATCTTGTGTGATGTATTTAATGGCCCTAATTTATGTGCTGACAACTTTGCCATTTCTAAGCAATGTTATCATTCATCCTTCTGATGATTAATTGGCACAAGCTTCAAACACTGTTTATCACACTTTGATGCAGCAATCACATAAGAAAGGCAAGGTGTTACAGGGGTGGGTTGTTTTTTTTTTTTCTTTTTTTTTCCAAAAATCTTACAGTATTTACAAAAAGATGCATATTTTTTTCTAACACCATTCTTGGAATTATTCACTCATTCACAATCAGTCATTGTATAAAAACATCATTCAGAAATAAGTTTTAAAATACACCCACCTCCATTGCATAGTATACAGAAAAATAGGCAAGAGTAAAGACACTTGATTTTTCAATGAGAATGTGAACTGATTCAGAGGTACAACATTTCTGAGAAAGAAACATGCACTTCTCATAAAATAATCGGCTATAGTTCTCCAGAAGCTGAAGAGCTTCTTGTAGGTCTACCATCAGATTTCTCTTTTACAGATCAAGTATCTCTTGAGGTGTATTGCCATACACACAATGCTGGCATCAAGGTCAAACAAATCATATTGCAATTAGAAGATTTACTCTGCAGCATTTGCATGTGGACTGTGACAAAAATGAGTTACACAAAGTACTCACAAGGAGCAATGATGGTGTCATGTGTCATGGCCCATCCCTGGAACAACTCAATGGATCTGATTTGTTATTTCCAATTTCTGCTTGTATAACTGAGAATCTGAATATACCCTTATATTTTTAGGATCTTTTCTGTAAGAGGACCTTGGGTTCTTTTCACGGTAAGAGTTAAAATGGAAGGCTGTGAAGGGATTAGCAGGCAATATCTATCCTGTTGATTTTCAAACAAAACTTGGTAATTTAGTCATTTGGTTATCTTGTATACTGGTAATTTTTTTGCTTAAAAATGTGCTCCGGTGAATTCATTGAGCCTGGTCCATTAAAAAGCAACAGGGAACTCTGAACAATAGGTGCTTGTTTTACAGCTACTGCAAATGCTTCAAAAGCACTAAATTGCCTTTTATACTCAACAGTCTAATAACAAAGACTGATTTTCTCCCTTTTTTTCCCCCAATTGATTTGATGGTTCACTTGAGCTTTAAAAACACATTACATAAATCTTTACGGCTATTACAGAAGTCTTTTGTCAAGTTTAATTTGGTGTTTGGGTTTTTTTTCCACGGTGTAATCATTCACCGTTAAACTCACTGTACCACACATACCAGGATCGTGCTTGTCTCTGGATCCGTAAGAATAGTAAGTCCTAGAGGTTTATTTTGCATGGGGATTGACCTAAATGCTTCCAAAAGCAGTTTATCACTGAAAGCTCCTGGTTCAGAGGTATATCAGAAATAGTGCTGAGCACTCCCAAAGGCACCTCTGACAACAGTTCTGTCCTCTCCTGCTATTTAACTTCACCATTACAACTTTCTTGGGGCTTGATAGCCCGTGGTGGAAATAGGATTAACTGAGAGGGTGGGAGATCCATCAGTGTAGACCACTCTCCTTGATGCAGAATAAAGGGGAACATTCTGCTCACTGGGTAGAGGTGTAGAGAGCAAGACCTAGTAGAAAAACAGTAAGTGTTGCAAAAATGTCAGAAATGCAACTGGGTACAAAACCCTAAAACCTGAACAGATGATATTATCTTTACCAGAAAAAGCAGAGGCTGTAAAATGCTAGGCTTCCTAATCCTACTTTCTCCTTGACCCCTGTGTGTCTAGATGCTTTTTCACTTTTCTCCTGTTTTTGAAGTGGAAAAATATCTATCACCCTCCCCTTTCCCCACCCTCCACCCTGCTGTGGTCCGTGAGGAAAGCCTGGTCCTGGAGGCATGCAGGGCCAGAGCTCCTTTTGGGGAAAATGAAGGAAAGGCTGAGACAAGTAGGATGCTCTTACTGCTCTCCCAACAAGCCACCTCTCTTGGCATTTATGATCACTCAGCAGAGTGCTTGGCTCTTTGAAGAGCGGGTTGGTATAGATGGGCCTTGGCTGGCACTGTAGGGGGAAGGTGGGGCTCTGCTGGTGAGGGAGCTGGAGATGAAGGTGTGAATCAGAAAGAACCCAATTAAATGCACAGAGGTCTGTCTCCACCCCTGAGCTTCTCAGTTCTTGGAGCCAGGGTGAGCTTCTCCGTTAAAGATGCTGGGGTAAGATGCATTTGGTGCTCAGAGGTCTCCATGTGCACCCACCAGAAAATTCTGCAGATAGCCAGCCGGGATTCTGCTCTCGTTGCCAGTGCAAAAACCCAGAGTAGTGACACTGACTTCCTTGACTGTGTCTGGAGCAGCAGAAAACTTGGCCTCATATTATAACCACTGTAAATGCAGGAGCACAGTGGAGGAGTGGGGGACAGCACTCTATTAATGAAGCTATTATTCAAATGAAGAACTTTAAAAGAAAAGAGAAAGATGGAGTTGCTGGTGACACTGACTGACATTGTTTGGGGATCACAGTAAGATCTGCTCAGCGAACAGGGAGAGCAGGGCTAGCGCCAGGGCACAGCTGCCAGAGGGGAGGAGCAGTGCCACGGGGGCCGTGTTTCGGAGCATGCACTCCACCCTGGACCAGGAGCCATTGTTGGGCAGCGGCTGTATTCCTGCCAGGCTGCACATGATGTTGTAAACATCCACGGATCTGATGGGAGGCGCTCGGAAGTTGGATCGGAAATCTGCAGCGAAAACGGACAAAAGAGAGGAGTTGGCATCATATGACTTGGGGCTGAGCTCCTGAAATGCAGGGTGCTGCAGGGCAAGGGCTCCTGTGCCTTTGCCAGGACTTACCCAGCAGGCTGGAATGTGGCACATGATACAATTTACCACATAGCTCAGCAAAGCCATTTAAAACTTTTTTATTTATTATTTTTACTTCTAACCCAATTTTATTCTAAAAATTTAAAAAATTTAAACATTATTAAGTACAAGAGCTACTTTTCTGTGTGTGCTTGGTAGATTTAATAGCTTGAAATAATTGTATTGCACATTCTGCTTTGCTTTCTCTCCTGTCTGCACTTGTAGCCTGGTGCTCAGCAGTGTTTAAAAGGCCTGATGAAGTGGAAACCAGGGGGTTTGTGTCTGCCCATGGGACACGTGGGTGAAGTATGCTGCAATGTTCCCAAAGAAAGTGCTCTGTGTTAGTGAGCTCAAATCCACCAACAAAAGGAGAATTCCTGTGTTTCAAATGGAGCTAAAATCCAGGCCAAAATTAGGAAAATAGGGCAAAGAGTTACTGCACCAGGATGTTGGAGAGGATCTGACCGAATGCCTTCATATCTATCTGCCCTGTTTCTCTAGCTACAGAACAGCTAGAGAACTAGAAACCTTCCCGCATCCAGCTGTAGTGAGGAAATCCTGCCATCTATTTGTAATCTTTGGGTGTCGCAGAGTGCCACATCAGGGTTCTGATATGTGAGGGGCTGCAGGGATGCTGGGGCAGGGGCCATGGGGCTGTGGGTGTAATGGGACACTGGGGATGGTGGCACTGTACCTGGCCCATACGCGAGGAAGAAGGCTCTCATGTCCATGAGCTCATTGTCGTAGCCATGCCAGCCATTCTGCCAGGCCTCCTTCCTCCCCGTCCCATTCTCCCAGAAGGGTAGCTTGTCCCTGCTCTGGGCAACAACAGCAGAGCGTGGTTAGTGCCTGCCTGCTAGGCTGTGCCTGGGGTGCCGCAGTGTGTCTCCGTGTGCTGTACCACCCCATCAGACCCCTGGACTGTGCCATCAGCTGCACAGGACCTCATCGCCAGGAGGGGTGACCCCTGGCTTTGCCATCTCAGCAAGTAAGCCACCTCTCAGCTGAGCAGGGAGGACAACTTTCTCTTACTCATCTAAATTTCTGCTGCGAGCACGAAGTATTACAACCGTATGTAGCAAGGTGGTGTCCCTCTTCTGTTGCATGCCAGCAGCACTGATCTCCCATCCAATTCCATGCAGTCCTGTGGATTTAATGGTGTGGTTCTGTCTGACATGCCATTAGTACCATAGAAAAAGAATCCATTTTTGCTTCCTTTGACTAGTCAGCCTAAACAATAGAAATATCACCCCTACTATACACTTTCTAATTATTATTTCTTTATTCTCCATGTCTGTTGTAGTATTAAAGCAATGAGGTTCCTTCCATGGAACACAGGCTCAGGCCTAAGACTGTCCCCCTCTCCCTTGCATAGACCATTCTCAGTTTTCTCTCCCTGCTCAGTGGATCCATGCTTTAATAATTTGTCATCATAGTTCTTGTTTTTCCTTGCCCATATTGCATGTAAGCTGTACTTTTAAATTCCTTCCTTACTTTCTCCTTCTCCATATTTACAGCTCTTACCAGACTACCTACAATAGTGCCATTTATTGGCCCCCCCTCAGGAGCAGCAGACCCTAGGGCTGCTCACAATGCTGGACCAACCCTCTCCATGAGTTTCTCTTGTCCCATACTTCCTAGGGATGGTAGTAGATACTACACTCCAGATATCCCCAAAACTATGGCAGGAATTTCACTTAGACAAAGAACATCAGCTAACAGTTTGTTAGGCCCCTGGCATTAATTCCTCTGATGGCTGCATGGAAGGAGCTACAATTCCCTGAAGTGTCGGGTCTGGGCTTCACATGCTGTCACAGGAGCACAGAAGATGCCCCAACAGCATCTCCCACATTCCCACCTTGAGTGAGTGGTGCTGGAACCCCTGCAGATGGTGAAGCAGATTGACTGAGGATCCCTTTCCCTTTACAATTTATTTTGTCTGATTTTTGTTTTAGTCCTCTGCCCAAGAAGAAAATGGGCCATTTGCAGGAGCACTGAGGACAGCAGTGATGATGCTTTGATATGTACCTCTTCTGACTGCTTTCCAGGGGAACCCCTGGAGTATCCATCGTGTTTCTTGGTAGCTAACAGTCAGCAGATGTACCAGATAGTTAAAAAAATTTAGCTGACAAATTAAATCTCTTTCCTGGTCCCCATCTATTTCACTGAGAGTGCTCAGAGCAAGCCGAAGAGAAAATAGACTCCTTCCCCTCTTCCTACCATAGCACCTCCTTACGCTGTGGCTCTGCTTACTGTGATTTCCTGGGACTAATTGTCACTGGGCTGCTCACCATTAGGCAACCTGTACAGCATTTGTTAGTATCAGCTCCAGACAAGCCAAGTCACATCTAATTTGCAGTGTTTCTTTGGCAGTATCATGACACTGCCGAAGCTACACCCCTCCACAGTCCTGACAGGTGCCGTGGACTCAGCTGCTTCGCCAGGAATGTCAAAAGCAGGAGGTAGTGTGCCTTTCTATCACCCACCCAGGCACCAGGAGATACCTACTCGGGGTTAGATGTGCAGTTACAGTCATTTCCACTATTTTTGCTGCTAGTTGGGTCAGAAAACATACTACTTCCTTTCACAACTGCACCTGAAGTGAGACTTCATGAAATGGAGCCATTAACAGCAGTAGCTTGAGGAAAAGGGCTGTGCAAGCATCTCAGCACCCTTCTAGGCTTACAGCAAATCCCACAAAGCCCTGGGTTTTCTTTGGGGCCAGGATACCAGCAGCACCCCAACGTGCCTGCCTTGGCAAACCCAAGTGGGACAGAGGACTCAACTAAGACATTAATTTTTCATGCGTAGCCTAAGCCTGGGCTAGTGTTGCTCCTCAAAGATGAAGCAGGCATGTCTGGGACTGCTGACGAACTTTTCCCTGCATGTGCATGTTTAGAAGCTGTACAGCAATTGTTCCCTAAAGCCTGGGAAAGTACACTGCGATGGGTACAGGGTGAGCACGCAGCCCTGAGGGCTAATACCGCTGTTGCATGCAGGGGAGCAGCTGGGGGAAATTCTGCTCAAAGGAGGGGGACCACTCACTCGTGCTGAGGGAAGAAGATAATGTTAGCAGACTAGCTTCAGTACAACTGGAGGTGTGTGAAATCCCTCCTCATCCTGCTTTAACCAAAATGTGGATGGGCTTTGATTCCTATGCGCCTTGCTGGGGAAAAAAAGCAACTTTCCAGATACATCCTCTTTGTCTCTCAAAAAAAACCCCCTTTCAAACAGCTTATAGCTATCTGTTAGCCAACAGAGCTAAAATACCCTGTGAGCATGATAGGGAAGAGCTGAACATTCTCTCTTCAGTGGTTTGGGCAGGAAGTATAATAGAAGGCTCAATTATTGCTTTAAAAATATGTCAGGAAACTTTCATTTTCACATCCCATTCACAGATAATGAAAATGTACCGAGGAGAAGGAAAATCTGACAGCATTAATGAGAGGACATTCTTGAAAATCGGAAACAATGGGAAGGAATGGGCAGAGAGACAGAAATAATTACCATAGCAGCAGTGTTTGCTGCACTGTTATTAAGGTTTGTCAGAGTTTCAATGATTTTTTTTAAAGTGCATTTTTTTTTTTTTACAGAATATGTAAAAATGTTCTGTGTTGAACTTCTGTACAAAAGAGTTTATTTGTAATTTTTAAAAATAATTTTGGCAGAAATGTTTCAGATTCCTACTTTACAAGTCTGAATCTTAACTCTGCCTTTTATACTTTTTTTTTAAAAAAAAAACAGAAATGTGGTGCTCACCCATCCATACTCAAAAGCAATCAGTTTTTTTTTTAAGAGGTGAATTTTTATTCACCTGTAGAAATTATTATCCTAAAGTCAGGTTATCTAGTGAGAAATGTGGTGGTGTGGACCACCTTGAGCAAAGCCTGGTGAGCAATAGCTCTGAGAGTCATGAAAGAAGATGCTCCACTGAACTGCCATAATTTGCAAGGCAGTGATAGGCAATGACTATGCTGGGACATTGAAAAAAACCGGGACTCCTTGGTTCCATTGCCAACTTACCAATTTAATGTATGGCCTTGGGCAAATCACTTAGTACTTCTCAGTTTACCTGCTTAGAAGATATGTAAGTTGCCTCACCCTCTGAGCTGTGGTGAGGTGCAGTTAATATCTGTAATGTGGAGATGCTCAGTAGTGATACAAGTACAAAATAATAACAACAGCAATAATTTCTTGCAACAAAATAAGTTGGTATGAAAAATCTCAGATTTCAGTGTGTGCACTGGATATTTCTAAGGGGTAAACCCCAGTCTGACTCTTCTGAGACTGGAAGGTTTGGGTGAAATGGGGCATTTTTTGGACAGTCTGGTGGGTAGGAAGCCAAGCAGAAGCAAAAGTTGCCACAAAGTACTGCTGAATGGAGGGATAGTAAAGTCTTGAAATGGAAACACTCTTTCTGTGTCTGAGATGAGGGTAGATGGGCAGGGGGAAAAGGAAAAAAGCAACAGAACTGAAATGGGAAATACTAAAACTCCTCCTGCTTTATGATGACACAGAAAAAGGAACAGTCTTGACTATTTAACTTTGTCTACCTTCAATATAGCTGACATGCCTTTATACTCTTTTAAGCACACAGTAATACTTGACATTAGTATTGTAGTCAGACCAAGTAAATCATATAACACTTTAACTCAATGCCCAGCATAGAATTGCACATTTTTCTTACTGTTTTCATATATTGCACCTTTTCATATTCAAGTCTAAGTATTTTGCTTCTATACTTTACCTCTACTATAAACCATCCTTTCTCAGCCACGAGAGTTAGTGGAGACACAAATTTTCCTTTTTTGTAGAAAAACCTGTCTGGAATATCCTGTATGTTATAAACATCCATGTGTTCCACAGCTTTCAGTTTTTGATATATCTGCAAAGAAAACAAATGTTAGGATACCATAAGCTGTAAAGAGCATATACGCACCTATGAGTACTGGGAAACACCTGAATTTGTAAAACGACTAATCCTTTTTAATGGCTAATCATTTGCATGTTAAAACTGGGGCTTCACCAGTCCAAAGATGATGGCTGTGCAAAACCTGCTTATGTGGTTTAGGAGGTTCTGAAAACTTGGATCATAAACACACAGGAACACATAAATTCATGTATTATATATAATATACACACTCACAAATGTATGTGAGTATATCAACCTACAGAGATAGACCAGCAGAAACAAAACCATCACAGGAGACACTAAAGTAAGTTGATGCTCAAAGACATCATGTGGACTGGATACAGATGTGGAAAAGGGATATTGCTTTCGTCCTCTGCCATTCATTCTCTCTGTGCTCTTGAGTGAACAATTCATGTCATCTCACCTGTGTTTCTTACACTTAATCAGTCAATCCCTATCAAAGTGATCGATAGTATTTAGTTATTCTGCTTCATGCTATGAGATTAATCAGCCAATGCCTGTGGCTTTGAAGCTTCACAATACCATACAAGTGGCTTATTAATATTAATCATGCCATCTGGAATATAATCACACAAATGTAGTTAAACCCCAAATTATTCAGACAAATACTCTAAATGCTTGAAGAAGATATTCATATGCTGTAAAGAAAGAGGTTATTGGAGTCCACAGAGTGTATATCACTCTTTTGCTTAAATATAAGTAATATCCAGGAATAAACAGCTCAGTTCTGCAAAGAATGAAAGGTCCTTCACTAGCCTTTTAGCTAAGTCCCCCTTGTTTGTATATGTGTGCAACGGATTTGCATTGATATGCAGTCGCCATAAGGACAGCACCAGGGCGTGATGGCATGACTCAGCCAGACCCTCCCACCATGACCTGGGCTAAAGAGTGGTCCTGGTGTTTCACCAGTACTTCTGGTGCTTCAAAATGACATCACTCTTAAAGGTGGTAACAACTATGTTATGACATAATCTAATTCCTAAACATGGCTCTTTAAAGTGAATTCAGAATAGAGGAATCTGGCTATTGGGAAACAGAAAATCAACTTTATTTCACTTACAAAAGCATCATTCCAGTCCTAAAAAGAAATGAAGGAAGAAAACAAAACCATGGTACGAGGCATTGTAATTTATTCTCCTTAGGGATATTAGGCTGTTTAATGAGAGAGGCATATGCTTAAGAGCTTTGTCGGATGAAGCCCCATGTCTGTATGAAGTTGCAATTTATACTTGCCCTCGTTTGAAGGTCTGGCCTACAAAAATAGGGACCTGTGAGTTAAAGCCGAGGAGAGCATATACAAATGCTGTGATCCCCTGCAGGCTGTGAAAATTAGCAAATATTCTCTTAAAAAAAATTGCACAAGCTACAATATACTGGAACTGACTAAAATATAATATAGAAAACAAAATTACTCACCTGGAGCATGGACTGCCCATTTTGTACATGCATTCATCTATATTCTGAGGACAGCAATAGTGACTTCTCAAGCGTTGATTTCTGGTTAAACTATAATGTACTAGTCTATTAGTTACAGATGGTCCATTTTCACTCTTTTGAAGTGGTTTCCAAATTTTTTTATGTATTGTTTTAATTTGTCCCTCAGAATCCTGTAGTTCTAGCCTTGGGCTTTTATGGTTGATTCAATCGAACATGCTTATTCATCAAAATTCTTCAAAGGAGATTTTGTAATTTTGATCTAATGGAGTTAATTCCTCAAACTCTATGGGAGTTTACTGGAATATGACTGCCTGACCTACTCCAGATCATTTGAAAATCCTAGCTAGAGGGTCAGTAAGTTAACTAATATAAATATAAAATCTTAGAAATGCATTTTGAGCTAAAATCTTTTAGCTATTTGTCAGAAGCACATAGTGGTGAGGTTTGAAAGCATGTATCTCTGCCAAAGGATGATGAAAGTTTATGCTTTTAATTTGCCTGGTGTGACTTTTCTTCAGAAACCAGCATCACAAGAGTGTCGCAGGATCCAAGTCTGACTCCCAATAAGAGCCTCAGGATGGTTTTTAAACACATCTCTGAAAGCGGAATTTGGATGTTATGAGCAAACAAAAGGCATTTGTCATAAAAAACGAGGAAGCACAAAACTAAATAAATACGAATAAGCTGCACTTACCTCCACATGTTTCCCTGGAGCTGGCCAGAGGCTCACAACTGGACCTCGGTCCTTCATTTGTATTGTATCACTCATATTGATATAGTTTTTCAGCTCAATCACTTTGTCTGCCCAAGAGATGTCTGTCATCCCATGATCAGAGAAGAGGAGGACGTTGATGTCATGCTGAAGGCCCATGCTCTGTGAAGTGAGTGAATGACAGCCATTATGGCTGGGAAAGCACTTCGTTTTGTCTGCTGGCAAATTTTAATTCCTGTTTAACCTCCACTGATTGAGTAGAAGTTGGCCAGAAGGAGCACAGTCACAAACACCCTGCACTGTCCTTTGCCACTATCCATAGTGGTGGACGTCTGCTCTCACTACCCTGGAAGAGTCTGAGAAGTTAGTGCCAAAGAGAGGTTTGCCAAAATAAATCCACCCCCCTGCTAAATAACCAGACACTACATCCCAGTCCCAGTTTGTCTTAGACAGGATTTTATCCAGCTGTTCTTCATCTGTAGGCCAAAATGGCTGGGGAAGAGCAACTTTGTTATGGTACCACCTGTGGCAGGGGTGTTTCTCTTTTCCCTTCCCAAACACAAGCACATAGCATTAGAGCTTTTATAATTTAGTGAAATTGGAAATTCATACTCCACTCCTCACTGAAATACATGAAAAACTCCAACATGCATTTATCTTTGTAAGAAATATTAATAGAATTGGCATTTTCTCAAAAGCTTGGTATTCTCCTTTTCTCACTGCAAAATCATTTAGATAATGTATTTTAAAACAAAGGTTAAAGAACTGAGTTCTGAATGGTGCCATAAATAACACTGTAAAAGTTAATTGTCTGATGCCACAAACCTTAGGAAGGGAGCAGTTTTGATTTGTTCACCTACTACAAAGCCCAGCCAGCAACACAAGTTACAAACAGAGCAACATGTATATTGGTTTATGGCTTCCTGGGGCTATCGGTATAATAATCCACTGGAAATATTATAATGCCACTGATGAAAATAAAAATCAGGGAATGGTGCCTTAACTTCCACGTGATCTTGGTAGCCTCTGTTGCTCAGGAAATAAAAGTTTACAGCCAATGCATCCAATTAGCAGGCATTAAATAGGCTCTCTGCAGCGCCACAAAGATCAGTTTTAAAAACCATTTCCAAATGCACCCGGGAGCTGGGTTTTTGCATGCCACTCACCTTGATGAGCGTGATCATGTTGCTCAAGGCTTTGTCCACCTCCTTCAAAGCGTTTTTCCGCTGCTGGGACAAAGGGCCATAGTGGTGGCCTTCCACATCAATACGCTCATAGTACACTGCGGCCATTTCGGCGCTGCCATTGCTGGAGGTGGAAGGAGGGGAAGGAGTGAGAGGCTGATGCACATGGGGACCACCTGGGCGCATTCACCTCCGGGCTGCTGGCATTACTGTCCTCACCAGTGGGTAGAGCCACGAAACCCCAGAGGAACATTTTGTGCTTCCAGCCTGGGCTTTCCTACTGGATGTTGCAAGGCTAGGCTCATTATTCATGCTCAGTGTCACCTGGGTTTGCTTGAGACTCCTATCAGAGGTGCCAGGTAGAGACTGCTATGTGCAAACATAGGCTGGCCTGGCAGTCTTCTACTACCTCTTTGAATTAGGAAGGAGGTTTTTCCTTTAATGACAAAGACAGACCCAGAAGAAATACTAATTTCTGTGCTGAATGCCCTCATTAAAAGTGTTGTGGGAATTACCAGTTAAATGTGCTTTAATTAAAGTTTGGCACTTCTGGCTTTCTCTTGCTTGAGGTCTTCCAAACCACTGAGGTCAACTCAGGACATGATTTTCCATGACCTTGCAAAATCCCAAGTGGTATGAATTGAGGTGAGATTTTAGATGGGTTTTTATTCAGGAATATGACCAAAAGAAAACTAAGGTAGTCTTAGAGTTACACAAGTTTAGCTGATCACACGTTTCTGCACTGAATGACCTCAGACTAATTAGTGGGGATTGTGCATACATCAGTGCTTAATTACATTTTCATGACCCCTTTACAGTTCACTGTAAGCTCCCTAAGAGCAGCCGTGTGGATAAAATCGCAAATCTGTGCTCATGAAGTTCAAACCCCGTCGTTTTCTACTGTACTTAATATATGACTAGGCATGCCATCCATAATACATGCCCTCATCCAGATCAAGATCCCTACAAAAAGACTTTGTGTGATGTCCTGCCAAGTCTAGCTTCTTTGATTAAAGACACCTGAGTAGTCTGGTGTAATGAGTGAGAAAAGGCAGAGCAGAGAAAAAATCAGAGGTGTGGGACTAAATGAATGGATTGGGGTTTGTCATTTGCATTTGTAAATTTGCTGAAGGCCTCAGAAAGCAGTCCTGTAAGAAGCTGAAGGTCTTTGCCGTGGTGGGAATTTCTCCACCGTTGGCCCTGCAGAACAGTGTTCTTTCTCACTTCTCATGATTTTAAAATCATTCAAATAAAGCAACATTTCCCTCCCCCCAATTTAATTTTAAGCATTATTTTCCATCTATATTACACATAAATTAATTTCTAAAATTTAACCCTGCAATTTCTATATTGAATATATGCTCATTTTACCTTTTGAAACAGTTTTCTTCTGCTGTAGTGCCTGTATTAATTAGCCACTTAGACTGCTTTGTGCCTTCTCACCTGTAACTAAATGATCATTTTGATCACAATAGAAGCTAAGAAAGACATTTCTTGTGTATAACAAGTGGCCTTATTTCGACTGTGGCGAGAATTCTCAAGGCCTCAGTGCTGCAAGGACAAATGTTCATCTTTGCACATGACTTCAACAGGACAAGCTCCAGTTATGTGGTATGCTTAGGAGTTTGCAGGATTGGGTACAGCACATTCAGAGCTTGTAAGACTGAGTTTGACTTTGTTTCCATTTTTGCCTATTTTCCTAAGAAAACAATACATCTCTGATCATGGTTTGCATGGGAGAAGTAATCTCTTTCTAACTGTGTTAGTCCTGTCTTCTCCCATCACCAGTAACTTTCAAAAGAAATGGCTAATGAAGTCTTGCTGAAGAAAGCTGGATGGCATCAATGGCAGTACCAAAAAGGGTTTTAAATTTTATCAACACACTTTGCAAGTACTATGCAAACTTCATGACACCTGTCCAGGAGGGTAGGTAGATTACAACAGCCCTTAAATTATAGTCGTGGTAAAGATATCAGGGAGGTTTTAGTTTCACTTGCCAAAAACAGGTGCTTGACTTAGTTCTGAATATTTTTGGTCTAAATAATGGTCTCAAAGCACCTGAAGAGACCGGAGAATATTCCTGAAGGATGGTTTCCTTTGGTTTGAAGAGGAGTTCAGTGGTTCCCTGATGAGTTAGGTACTCCTGCCCCTGCAGAGGGCATTGATAAAACTGCCTTAGATCCTGGTGAAGTTAATAGGGGTCAGGATGTTCCCATGCCCAAACTCAAGTTATAGGCCACCATGCCACAATAAAGGTCTTACTCTCTCTACCCTGAAGTCCCTGTAAGGTTTGCTAGTGGTGGGAGCATAAGTGCAGTTCATTAACTACTAATATCTGTCATTAGGGCAACTGAGCAAGGCACTGCTCCAGGCAACAGAGTGCCCTTGCCACAGGATGTTTTCCCACAGATAGCTAGTGCCAGATTCAGCCTAATGGGCCTTTTTCAATTAGTTTGGGTCTGCAAAGGAAACACACTATATTTGTTAGCCTTTGAACAGCTTCAAGAATCAGAAGCTCTTGCTAAAGATTTAGATGATAATAAAACCCATCTCAAGACTCTTCTACCCAGAGATGCTAACTCCTGCTAAATGAATATGCCTACAATAAAGGCATTTCAGAGGCTTTACTTAATGGGCTGGCACAGCAGCACTTAAAATTGTTTGCTAAATTTTAAAGGACTCAACAAAGACAATGAATAAGAGAAAGGATAAGGAAAACCTACTTGATCTTTAATCTGTTAATTCTCTACCCTCCTTTCTTACTGTAAGTTCCTGCAGTATTTAGACCCACAACTGATTATTAAATTTTTCAGTGATTGTTCCTTTTTCCTCTTTCCTGCCTTGCTGCAACCAGGGCACTTAGTTTAAAGAAAAGGAACCCAGGCAGAAATTCATTAGGGATGGTGAGTAAATGGACACCAGAGACCAGACCTCCTGCAGCTCCAGGACGGTATGTAGGATTTGGCCTCCTCAGCAGGCTGTAGCTGGTGTTTATGGCAGACATTGTGGTGGCAGGGGTTTGCTCTTTTCTTGAAATCACCAGCTTTTGCCTCTTGCAGCTGCCCCACCAATACTGCTGTGTCTCTGCCCTTTTCTTCTTTTCCACCAAAGACAGCAGCAAGCAGCCTTGTGTCTCGTGGTGAATTAGCTATTGAAATGTTTCCAACGGGCTCCAGCTATCCAAAAGAGCAGCTTGAAGGGCTGGAGCTTTTAACAGGTTATGCCTTGCCAGCTATCCAGAAGAGCATCTTGAAGGGCTAGAGCTTTTAACAGGTTGTGCCTTGCTTTTAATCATGTCCACAATTACAAAGCTGCAAATCATCCTGAACAGCCTTATGCACCTTGCTTCATAGAAACCAGGCAGGAAACTTCAAGCATATATTCCCAAATGATACCTGACCAAAAAAGCTTTCCAAGGTAATTCTGGGTTTCCACCAGAAGTCAGAGCTAGTGTCCGTATTCAGTTTTCCATTCCCTTTTTTATTTGCTGAATTAGACATGTTGCAGAAGCTCTGGAAAGCTTCATATGGCACATATGACCTCCTCATGTCACACAGAGATAACTTTCTTAAAATCTAAGCTAAGTCATTTCAGGATCAAATGTCTCACATGTTCTGAAACAGCTTCTCTCTAAGCCCCATGCTGTGAACACCACTGTGATTTGTGAGCATCTGTGCAGCAGGCTTCAGCAACTGGGAGCAACATCTCCAGCAGCACTCTCATAATTTTGGAGCCTTTATCGCAAGGGCAAACATCACTCAGCATCTGAATATGAAACTTTTCAGAGTCAAATCACTATGGCAATTCTCGAGATTGGATAAACTGTGGAGCCAACAAGGTTTTAAAACAGGAAGCTTAGTTATAGCTAAGGTAAGGTATTGGCTCCACATGTGGTGGTGCCATCTTCCCTGATTTTACAACCTACGTGGAACTGTCCCCTGGTAATGTTTGGATGAGAGATGGTGGAACTGGAAAGCTGTGCGTGGAGCATATGTTTTTCCTAGGAGTTGTCTGAGAGATGTATTCCCATCGTTCCCATCACTTGGGCTAGATGATTGTTCTATTCTATTCTATTCTATTCTATTCTATTCTATTCTATTCTATTCTATTCTATTCTATTCTATTCTATTCTATTCTATTCTATTCTATATTGGTACAAAATGAACATCTGCTTTAAAGTCATCACACCTGAGATGTTGTAAAATGCAGAAAGAGCCAAAGCATTGGCCTCGTAAACAAGTGACTGGAGCTGAATTTCAGAATTTCCTCATTCTGAGGAGCTCTCTCTAAATCCAAGCATTTCAAAGTCTGCTCTTGCAGGTCAGTGAACAGATACTCACAGACTGATCTTGAAGTTGTTTGGAAAAAAAAATAATTAGTAAGCCAGGATGTCTTCTCTGTGTTGTAACCTACACATGAAAAGAGGAGCACACCTTTCCCCCCCAATCTTAATCTAAAGGCCTGTTTCTGTTATAGTGATGTTTCTATGACAATACTATAAAGCAGTCTCGGACCCCATCTTCCTACCTGGGAGTCAATCCTGAAAATCTCCCTAGAGCAAGGCTGATAGTAAATCCGAATATTCATCCTTGAGAGAGGAAACCCCACACTGCAGAAGTCTAGTGACATACCGCAAAGACTGGAGAGCATCGCTGATAGCATCCGCAAAGTTTTTGTCTGTTGGGACACTGAAGTACTCACGGCAATAACTTGGTCTGATTCCAAGGATTTCAACCTCACAACCTGTGAGCAAAAAATGTGGTAAGCTCTTCTGTTTCACCTTAATCACAGACCCCACACCGTGGGGTCCAGGTTCAGGTTTGTAAATTCCCTGTGACAATACTTACCTTACACCTTCTCTGCAAGAAACCTTGTGGTTGGGAAGGGAAAAGGGGAGAGAGATTTGTTTGAGAAGTGCTTGTAGCAAACTGTACATTGGATTGTTTTATTTCCCTCTCTAAAAGGAGTCTCTGTGTGACCTTCCCACAGTAAAACTGGATTCCCTCATGGCAGACACTTTCCACCTAAATCACTTGCTTGTTTGCATTTTAACTACAGCAGCCACATAGCCTAATTTCCAGGCTTCCAACATAACAGATTTAGATATTGTTCCCTGAAAGTTCAGCAAATACTTTCCAGTTAGACACGCTGTATCTTACGTCGTAATATCATCTATAAACCATATTTTATTATGTGATACTGGCACTTCACTATTAAATCTTTTTCCCAGGAGGTCTTATTAAAACAGTATAAACTAATTAACTCTCTTGGTAACTTGCAGCCTTCCTTGCAAAATACAGTCTGTTTTGTGGCCCAGAAACTTATGGAAACAAATCCTACAGGAGAACATGGCTCTGAACACACAAAAACATGTTTTTGTGGTTTTTCTTGCCCTTTTGCTCTCCTGTTACTATGCTGCTGAATAACATTAATATTTAAAAGAAGTGTGCTTTCAGAAACACTGGATTCATGCAGATTATCTTTTGAGACTCCCCAGAGTCCTCCCATCACAGTTTGACATTTTCTGGTGTACTCCTGGGGCACAAGGACAAAAAAAAGGAAAGAGATCTTTTGCAAAATGGTCTCTCTATACAGCAATATAGTCAGGTCAAAAAGGCAACTCTAAGTCATAGCCTGAATCTGCCCACACTTGGGTCCCTTTGCTTCTCCTTTGGGATGAAAGGAATAGGCATTAAGGACTGTCATAAGTTGACTCATTGCTTGGGGTTGAAGAAGATGGCACAGGAGGTGTAAGTACAGAGAGGGCACTAGAGCAAGCAGAGCTGCCTTCAGAGATGATTTACAGTTGTTTGCTTACAGGGACACTCAGCAAAGAGAATTTGTCAGTGTTTTGCATCTCAGCCTGCATGGGCTGACATCACTGAGGTGCAGTACTGGGACACAGGGAAAAGCACACGGCTTGCAGGCTAAGCTGGCTAAGAGACTTCTGATTGTGACCTCTCAGGATTATCATGAAAGGTTAGAAAAACGTAACTATTTAAGCTTATGAATTTTTTAAAAATCTTCACTGATTTGTAGAAAGCCAGGTAAGTCGGATGGAGGTTACCCTTTCCAAAAGCTAAAGAGCCTTAGCACACATGGCAGATTCAGTCTCTTCACCCAGTGGTCCATGGTAGTGGCTCCTACATCTCCACATTCTTTGTGTGTTTCAAAGGACTCTATCTACTATCATTAAAAGTTTGTAAGAATTAATTATTTGCAATAATAAACATAAAATGTAGTCAATGTATTTTTCTGAAAAAACATGTTTACATCATTTTGAACCTCTTTTTTTTTTTTCAATAACAATTGTAGGAGTGTGTGATAGTGCTCACTTTTTGTTCTTCCCCTGTTGCCCCAAACTTACATGACTTAGTCTTCCCCTTTCTGCATGGAGATACTTCAGTGTTTATCTCCCCACCATGAAAGTAATCTGCAACTTGGATGAACAGACTGCAGATTACCTGACAAGAACTGACTCTCCATACTGTCCCATAGTAAAACTTCCATACATTTGTACACAGCACCTTCAAGAAATCACATTTTGCAACAGAGACAGGTCCCATCTACTACCTAACCAAATCATCCAAAAAATGTATTCCATGACCTGAAGTCGTCTGCAGGAAGCAGGAGCTCTCGCCCCCTACCCTGAGGGCATGAAGCTTCAGTCTCTTGCATGATGTCCTGGATGCTACCAGCAGCAAAACATGGGCTTTCAGAGCTACCTTGGATGCTGGAGATGAGGCAGTAATCCTCTGTCGGCTTTGCTAGTATTTCAGGACAGAATTGGAACTTTGGATCCAATTTCTCCTCTGACTTGAGTTTGGGGAAAGATTGGCTCCAAAGCCAGGCAAGAAGTTAAGTATGCATTTTGAAATACTATTATTTTAGTTTAGATGGATGATTGCTCATAGCCAATGACTAATATGATGATTTTGCCTCTTTTTTGCTCTTCAGATACTGACATCAGATTATAATTTTCTCAGATAATGTTCCTTAGAATTACTCAAGCGATAATTTTAACTGGAAGCATTAACCTCTTGGGGATCTGGGATATTTTAGTTGCTGAGGTATCTTTGCTATTTCTGGATTGTCAAGTGATTAACATGACATAAAAGGCTACAGAGGCAGCAACAGAAATAATTTTGGCCACTAAATATTGGTCTACAAGTGTGCAGTTCATTGGCAGTAACACTGAAAATTCAGGCTGTTTTTTTTTTTTTTTTTTTTTTTTTTTTTTTAATCTTCTGTAATGAACAGAACTTAAAGTTGGATTTTTGATGTTAAGGCTTGTTACAGTTCCAAAATACTGGCCATGAAGACCCTTAAATATTTAAATTTAATTTTGGTAGAGGCCAGGACAGATGGTAAATTTTCTCATTTAAATATTATGGGAAAGAAAATTTTAAAATATTTGGAGCCAAAGGGAATGTTAAGTTTTTCTTGTTTAAATTACAAATAGATGAGCTGTATTTACTAAGATGTAATGTTAGATACCTTTCTGCACAGTTTTGCACGACGCTAAACCTTTATTTAAAAACCTGAACTACTGGAGCAGGAATAAGGACTTGTTTCACAGTGATATATAGGCTCCTCTTTATCTATCTGACATAGAGACCCAAACCTCTGCCAACTTTAAATTGCATTTCTAAACATTGATTTAACAGCTGGACACTTCATGTCATAACAGAAGATTCTGAAAACTTTCCAGACTAGCTCTACAGTCTGGTAAATGTTGTGTTTAAATGGCAAAAAGTTGGATTTACGGTCCTTTTTTCCCCCTTTCTCTCATTTCAGTGTTTAGAAAAGGTGTCACTGCACTTCAGCTGAAGCAGTTGCATAGGCTGCCGGAAGATGAAGGAGTTTGAGGGTCTGGGATGACATCACCCACCAGGCTGACAGTGAGGAGTATGATAAAGCTTTGACTTTGGTGATACCACCGGGATGCTCTCTCACTCCCCCTGGGGCTGCTCCATCCAGTGGAGTGGCAGTGCTTCAGACAGGCAACCTGGGCACAGTTCACCCCACGTACAGCCTTACCTGTTACACTTAGGAATCAGTCAGAATATACATGACTTTTTCCCCAGGAATGCCTTGAAGAACAGAAACTGCCTTATAAACACTGGGAAAAAAAGGAGAAAAATGTCCTTACGAGCCAAGTGCTTATATTTTGGCAGAAGTGGTGGTAGGGGCTGCCAGCACTGTGGTATTTTGGCTCCTTTGCTTCTAGAGGCAGGAGAGCCCAGATGAATTCTGCCCATGAGTTGTCTTTGCTGTGTTTGTGTTGGGCTCAGAGATAAAGCTGTGATGAATGGATGTTCGTATCCGGCAGCCCTACTGATCTGCGTCCCTGTTTGCTGGGGTCTGGATTTTCTTCTTTTAGGCACTGACTATGCAGGAGAGAGGAACACAAGGAAGAATATGAAGTGGCAGATTTTGGGTTCAGACTTTGCAAAGCTTGGAAGTGGCTCTGAGAAGGAAATGGCAGTGGTGTAAATTAACCTTGGGAATCAGCATGCTGGCATTCACAATGCATTTCTGCTACATTTGATTGGTCTTGTTTGTCTTCACCGCTGACTAGAGAGAAAATAGCATCTTCCAGAACAAAGTGTGATGAATTTGGCTATACATTGCTGTTCCTGTTAAAGAGTTTCCCAAACATTTCCTGTTCGGATCTTTATCAAATTTGCAAGATTCATTACCAAGCAGCAGTATATCCTCAGGCTGGAAAGCTAATCACACTAATAGCAGGTCATATGCAATGCAAATGTCTGTGGGACCTCTCCCCACATTAAACCCTTTTTCTTTCATTTTGTTTGGCATTGCTCCACAGTCAAATGCCTTGTTAAGAATTAAAGCTTTTAAATAATAGATGTAGACTTTTTAGAGGATTGCATTCTTACAATGGAACTAGAAAACAAAAAACTATATAGGGAAAATGTAGTAAATACTATTGCATTTGAGGTGACTTGTTTACTCCAGTTACACCTGGCATCCTACTGCAGCCCAACTGTCCTGTGTTTTAGTTCAATAGTTCTACATTTCACCCCGCTTCCTGCCCTGTGCCTGACCCTGTATGGCCAACATGTCCTTTGAGACCATGAACACCCTTAAAATAAGCATGTGCTTATGAATTTGCTGAACTGAGGCACTGATGAATTTGCCAAAGGTCATCTGTCAGAGATAAATAATTAATGATAGACAGATGTACATGTTCACAGCTAAAATACCAGATTCACGCAAAAAATTCACCCTCCGTAAGAGAGTCGATGCATACATTTGGCAGCGTAAGCACTGGGAAAAGGGAGGCTCTATTGTTCCTTGCAACTTTCACTGGAAATAGACACATAAGTGTGAAGGGTACACGTGTATACAGGATACATACATATACACCTCATATGTCTGCTCCCTGAGAGACACTGCTCAAAGTGCAATGTGAAGGAGCTAGGTAAAGTCTAAAGGCATTTAATGGAAAGTGATACTATCCTTTTGGATTTCAGTAGATCTCTGTAGACTGTTACATCTATTCAGTATATAATTATACCTATTCAGTGCAGTTATATTAGTAGTTAAAAATGAACAGTCCACAGAAACAGGTATTTTTGTAAATCTTTAGAAAAATGTCTACATTCTTGTATAATTTCTATACCCTATTTGCATTGCTGTTAGGTCACTTAAGTGATCTCCAATAAGAAGCTTTTTTTTTTGAGGGCTGATCTAAACCATTATATCTGGTCTGCAATTCCCGTCCCTTGGACTGCCTTTGAATCCATAATGCAATACTGTCACCCTCAGATCTTTTTCCTCTTTAGTACTGTAGAAACAGTCTGGATGGGTTTTCAATGTTTTTCATCTTGGTTCACTCTTTCTTCGCTTTCCTGAGAACTGTGACCTTTTTTGTGGGATGCCATTAGACACGTTGCATGGAAAGAGCGTGACCAGGCACACGTGCATTGGGATGCAGAAGAAGAGCTGGCCAAGAGCCCGCAATGTGAGTCAGCTGCCGCTGCCCTACCCGCTGGCACTGGCTGTCTTCAGTACAGCTCTTCTAACATGTGGTCCTCTAGCCTGCAGTTACACGTATAAGGATATTGGGGTACTGCTTAGGTAGCAGAGTTAAAAGGTCAAGAAGTTGAGAAGCTGGGTACCTTGTAAGAGATTTGGTCTGACTGCACAGTTAGAACATTTATTTCCATGTGGGTTCTTAAATGGGCAGCCTAAGGATATACTCTTGTTTGTTAAAAAAAGACTTATTGTACATCCCTAGTGATTTCAGTTGTCCAATATCCAACAAATGAAGAATGGAAAGGCCAAGTCCCTCCAAGTGAATGGCTCAGATTCAGAGCAACTGGGACCCCAGCTGAGTTAATGATGAAGGAAGACAAGAGTGCTCCCTCCAGTTCACCAAAGGATACTTTGCTTTCAGATAGATTTTGCTGTCCCTACACAGTAGATCATTTTCAGCTCTCAGCTACTAATTTCCAAGCACTGGGGGGATGGTTACTGTTTAACTTTGATCAGTGACATGGTCTACAGTGCAGCACAGCAGAAGCTACAGGTGGGCAAGAGGATCAAGAAGTTTGTGGAGGAGGGGATGGTCTGCAAGACAGCAGCCCCCTGAAGGTAACATTTGGTGCACAGCTATCTCCAGTGACACTTCAGTCTTTTCCTTTCTAAGCATATGCAAATTGTCATGGCCTAAGAAAAGATAATTAATTTCTATGAATGGTTAGTAAAAGACTCATAATTCTTCTCTGTATTTCAGAACTATATTAAAGAGCCATCCTACAGCGTATGGAGTGCTTAGATGTAAAGATGCACTGTTAAGATGGTAGCAATTCTTGGCATACTAACCTGGCCAGTAGTACATGGAAACATTCTTTTTTTCTTTCATCATTGTGACCCACAAAGGCTCCGATCCATTCCACCAGAGAGGCAGCAGGCTTTCTTTATTCACACCAATATCAAAAGATACATTTGCCTTTTGATCCCACATATAGTTTCCAATCATCTGATGGACCTCACAGTGGCGACCTTTGGGGGAGGAGAAAAAAACCAACACAATCAGATCGGCATTCTGCAGCAGAAGGATGCCACCAGCACCACCACTGAATCATCCAACAAATCAGCTGAAAAGCCCCGATTTGAACTCAGGGACCTCTTACTTTGCAACCACTCATAGTATTTTCTTAACTTTGCTACCTCTTACTGAGATCCTCTTGGTAGCTCTCTATCCACCCCCAGCTCAGCCACCTAAAAGTTAGTTGCTGAAGCTTGTCAGCCACCTGTGTTCCCTTCACAATCAATGGAGAAGAAGAGGCATCTCTAGAAAGCAATTCATGCCATCCTAAGATAGACATCTAAGGTATCTGGGAGGGGTTATCCTCTAGAGGTGCATATTGCTCCCTATTAATTGCAGAGAAAGATCATTCACTTAGCTTCAGACAGCCAACTTTTAGACAGTTGACAAATCCAAGAGCCCATGGCCTGCTCAACATGTCATACCCTGTCTACACACACAGAACCATGGCAGCCGCAGCCCAAGCGAGTGCCACGTGTTTGTCTGATGCCTGGCTCCTTCTACACACACAACATTTCAAGGTACCCACCAGTGCACAGACACAGAGGAATACGGGAAGCAGTCTATGAACAGGAATGGCTAAGAGCACAATCTGGAAAAAGAATAGTTTGGGAAACTCACACTTTCCCTCTCCTTTACCCATAGGGCTCATTGTTTTTCCATAAACAAGCAAAAACTAGGCTAAAACTTGTATATATTACTTTTATTTTTTGTTATGGTTTGTTTGTTTGCTTATTTTTTAAATGAACACACTTTGTTCTTGGTTGTGGGAACAGCAATCATTTCATCAGACATTTTCAGCCCTCTTACTGCATCTCGGGGGCCCTTGGGCAATTTTATATTACAAGGCACTAGTATATAATAGCCGAGAGATGTCTTCCACTTCTTGTCACTGTCAGAAGAGAAGTTACTGTATTTTAAGAGTTAATCTGCAGGTGAATAAACCAAAGATGGGAAAAGAAATGTTGAAGAATAAGTTGTAATGGGACTTAATGATTTCCATACCTTAAAAAACAATGACTGATGCATATGTGAGACACTGTCTTCATTAGCTGATGAGTCACGATATTGCAAGGATCCAGATAACAGGCTTTGATTACTGTGGAACCGTGTGGTGATCAGAACTGAAATAACCTTGGTATACTTGTTTTGAAAAGGTGTCACCTTGAGCAGAGGACTCTGTATACTTTGGGTATGTGTGATCTTGAAATGGATTTTGAACTCTCTTTCCCTGCTATGAAGCATTTCAATTATGCAAAACATTTCCTCCTCCCAAGTGGAGAAAAGCAATCCCGATTTGTGGCAGTCACTATTTACCATATTAAACCAAATAGGTTTAATATAGGAGAACTGGTGGATTGGATGGGCAGTAATCTGTCCTCTTTAGGCTGCCAAGTGCTTTCTTTGCTCTAAGTCTCAAAGAGCTAGAGGAAAGCCTCTACAGTGCATCAAAAAGTCAGCCTTCCTACTTAGAGGACAACTCTGTTTCTTCACCTTCTTGAAGTCCATGTACCCTTGAGCATATACCAACCTGCTAAACTGCAAGCAGGCAACTGGTGCCAGCCTGGGAAACCTGCAGGTTGGTGCTCAAGCTGTTAGGTCATGTATTTGTATGGTTTATAGTGTATTCTTCATATAAAAACAATGAGCTCTAGCTGCTAATGATGTGAACTTCCTATAGGATTTAAGGTCTGCTGTCAGTTTGCCCACCTCTCTAAGGAACAGAACAGAGATTGTTCTTTGTAGAGTTTCTGGGAAGTTTAATGAACGCTGTGCACTAACACAGAGGAAAGTATTCTTCTGATCTACACATCAGACAAGTTCATTCTTCTATGGACTCCAACTCTCCTTTGTTTACATTGAAAAAGAGGCCTAGAAGAATATAAGGCATCGATTTTCATTGCAGACATTCCTGGTTCACAGGGCCAGAAGGGACCATCAGATGAGCAGACAGACCAAAAGACATGACCATTTAATGCTGCCTGGAGCCATCCATGTCTGCTTGCCTGAAGTCTGTGTCCCAGAAAGACCCCAGACCTCCCTGGAAGACATCAGTAACTAATTAATCAATCTCTTCCTTGGGTTGCTTATCCTATTATTGATCATCAGTAAACACTGTTCAAAAAATATGTCTGGTTTCTAATTCTATTTTTGTCTTTTGTTAATCTTCAACCATGGCTATTCTGTGCTTTGCTCACTGGAGTAAAAAGCCCTGCAATAGCTGGCATTTCTGCCCCCTCAGAGACACACTCAGAATTAAGGTCACTTCTCAAATTTCTTTTGGGTCACATGTACAACCCCAGTTCTTTACATCCCCTGTTGTAACTTATTTTCTCCAGCCTGAGAAAATGACCTTCGGTGTTCTCCTCCTTAACAATTATCAAAATAGCAACATGGTGTTAAACAGATACCATAACACACTGAATTTACTATTGCTTCCATTACTGCAGCTTTCCTCTGTAATCAAACATTATCTTAACAGTTTCAGAAGTAGAAACAGGGCAAAAAGCAATTTTAGCATACAGATGTCATTATTTAACCTCACTGCAATTGTTGTAAAAAGCACCCTTTCCTCAAGCAACACAGAAAACAAAGAGGGTATAGTTCCCAGGAATATGATAACTGCTGTATCTTTCTGGAAGAGAGCCAGCAAAAGCATTTGCAAGTCTGCGTGCTACAGCTTACTTGGACACTACACTTCTTACAGCATTGGCTTTGTCTAAAGCACATTCCCATGTCTCCAGGCACTTTTGTCAGCATTCAAATGAATCTCTGCAAAACAAAGATGAAATTAAAAAAAAGCCAACAAAACCAACAAAACATGCAGCCACTTGACCACCCACAACAACAGCACACTAATGCTGAGTGCTGGTGCACCCTACATTAACCGTACGTGAGATCTGGAAACCAGAGCATATGCTCCTCTAGCATTTGCTATAGGAATGACCTCTTCTTTCTTTGGTGGTCTTTCACTGACTGCAGGACAGTGTGTAGGATCACCAGTAGGCGTACATCATACAGGGACCATCTGCATTAAATCTACAAGAGAAAATGCTCTTCTGAAACACTCAGTTATCTTTTTTTGTAAAGAGAGGCAGCACATGGAAGATGTGCAATGCTATACGTGGTGCATCGGGCAACAAAACAGAGGTAAACAGTCTCTGCACAGAGCAAATCAGATTTGTCATAGAACTCATGGTGTGTATATTAGTCAGCACAGCAAATTTACAATAATCTGTACCCACGTGGTATCCACCTGATGATGAATGTAAGTCCATGCATTTAGCTAAACCTACTGTACTGTGTAATATTCTATGCATGCCTTGCTGGTACTGTAAGACCTTACCTCCCACCATGATGTCCCCACTCCCTGGGAAGAGACAAGAGCCAGGAGGTGAGATGCAAGCACAGGCTACTGTGGGGCTATATAGGCTGAGGAAGAGCTAAGTTCCTCCACAGCTTCACAGACGTAACGTAGGTAGGTTTTAACAGCCCAAGAGAGACATGCTGCTCCATTTCTCCCCTTTCTTCCCTCTGCTATTCCCTTGCTTGAAGAGCCACCTAAATGCTAACCTTAGACCTGCTCCTTTATCAGCTTCCCACCCCACTTCCAACCCCTCTGGAGACCTGCTGGTTGACTTGCCCTGTTCTGCTCATGCTGCCTGCCATAAGGAAGAAGAGAGCAGGACTTCAAAAGTTACCAGTATGGTGTTGCCACTCAAGAGCAGACTATCGTGGTGTTGTTGTCCCCAAGGACTGAGCCCAGTCTGCTGTGAGCAGAGCATCCTGAAGAGCCCAGTTCTGCCTGCTTAGATATATGCCCCACTCTGCTTTTCCCCTGCTGGGTCTCATTTGCCCTGCTTTGAAAAAAAAAGACCACAGGGAAAAAAATTAAATCTGTGTGATAAACCTTAAGTGGCCTGGAGAAGACCAGGGCTCATGAGAAGTCAGCAGGGGAGTGCTGGTCTGGGCAAAGTGGCGCTGCCATCTGCAGGCCCCCAAGAAAAAACAGTACCTGCAAGACATGCACAGACAGTTTATGTTCCCAGAAGAGCTTTCTGGCAAAGTCTTTCCAATTTTTTATGACCTCCTATACCAGACAGATCCAGAGCAGAAACACCTTAGCCTACATCAGGCAAGACTTTGCAATCCAAGTAGGATCACATCAAAAGGCACAGAAAAATCTCTGCTCTACAGAGCATTATTTTTTTTTTCCTGAAAGGGATTCATTTAATAAGAGTGTGAAACTCTTAATTCAATGCTTTCATAATGGAGCCAGGCCTGGGATGAACGAAAATTGCTTCCAAAGCATCCAGCTTAGGCTTTGCAGGTGCTAGCTTGTGTGGTAAGGCAGGTCTTGTGTCCCTGGAGAAGAGATGCTCCGAGCTGTTGGCTCAGCTCCTGAACTGAGCGGCAGGGTGGGCTGAGGGACCAGGCTGGGAGCGCTGACCTCCCACAGCTGGGTACGGCTCGAGGGCACCGCAGCTCCAAGCACTACAGAGAGCCTGGACAAAATGATGGGCAAAGCTGCTGCCTGCACCACTGGAGAGGGTATGACCCTCTGGCAGTTTTCTGTTCATCAGCTGTGACTTCAGCTCTAGGCAAAGAAATATCATATATGTGAATGTCCACTTACTGCTGCAAATAGCTGGTAGGTGGTATACTGGTTGTGAGCTGTGAGGTGTAGCTAGCTAGTAAGAAGGGAAAACCTCTGTGCTTCAATTTGTAGCATATGAACTTGTGCTAGAGAAAACTTTCTGTTCTCCACTTTGAAAGTGTTTCCATTTTTTTAACTGGTAGAAAGCAAACACAGATTTTTACAACATTTTGTGTATGTGTGAAAGAGAAAAATCTTGGCACTTGGCATTGCAGCCTTTCTGCAGGCGGCGAGTAAACAAAGCAGGATGAAGAATGTGAAAATGAAAAACCCTCCTGGTTCCCACTCTCTTCTGCA